TGTGTGTGTGTGTGTGTGTGTGTGTGTGTAGATACACACACACATATAGTGGCTGCAATCATAGATTGTATGCAATTTTTCAACTTGATTTTTCAGTTAATATGATGTCAAAGTATTTTTAAGTGCTAAGTGATATATTGCACTTCATGATTTATTTAACAGGTTTTCTGTTGTGAATACTAATGTCGCTTCCAAGTTTTTTGCCGTAATATATAGTTACTGCGAAGAACAATTTTGCTTTTGGAATTTTTCAAAGGATTTCCTCTGTAGGGTAATACAGACTTTAAAAGGAAAAATGAAAGTACCAGCTCTCAAAACTGCATTTAAGTCAACCTCCTTCAGATCCTTCCTGTGTCCAGCACCATTTATCAGGTCTGGTTTCTGTCAGCTTCTGCAGGCAGATGAGCCTTGCTTAAATTGCAATATGCTGGTGTAGGTAGTTGGGTTTCCAACTCCACCAAACCCAAGTAATAGTATAAGGTCAACGAGGAAAAGAGAGAAGCGGCAGAAAATAAACGGAGAGAAAGCAAATATTTAAAAATGGCCAGAGAATTTTATGAATGGATGTGCTCCCTAAACACAAGTGGGAGAGCTAGACTGAGGTGTGAAATTGTCGTTTTGTCTTTTATTTACATTGTCTCTGTCTTTCAATCTTTCTTCTCATTCCTCCACTCCTCCCCTACCCCATGCTACTTCTTCTTCTAAGGACTTTGAGGGCTGCATGGGCTTGTCCATCCTCTTTTCACCCTCTCATAGTTTCTGCTTTCCTTCCTTGCCATATGTCTTTGAAAGGCAATTTTCATCACTTTGGTTCAGTATTTATTGAGAATTTACTATGTGCCAGGAACAGTGGTAAGTACTGGGGATTCACTGTGAACTACAAAGTCAGTGCTGGTCAAGAGGATGGTGGGAGGCTCTGATTGAATGGATATTCTGAAAGCAGAGCTGGAGCTAGCTAAGTGATGAATAGGTATGTGTGTTCATGGATGAAGGGCATCTATGACAAGGAATAGCCTTTGCAAAGCCATGCAGTGGGAGGAGCACCGGGAGTGCAAGGCGGTGGGCCAGAGTGTCAGAAACCCTACTCCCTCAACGTAGTGCCCGTTCCTCATTAACACTTGCCAAACATGAAGCTCAGTTGCCTATTGCTTTCCTACTGGCGCTCTGTCTGGGTAGTTGGGTTAAATGATTCTGAAAAGCCCCCGGAGTCCCCAGTAATTTACCTTTTCTCATCGTGTCTGTAAGATGAAGAGGTCCGGCCACTGGTCCATATAAACATCTTAGAGGATGTTGGTCCAGGGGCTGTTTTCCTTACAGTGGAAGTCCTGGAGGAATGGCGAAAAGACCTAGAAGGGAAACACACTGAAGTTAAATCCATTACCTTGAGTGTGGGGAACTCTGTATCAGTAGCAACCAATAGCTTCGGTGGATCAACTCTCTTAAATAAGGCCAGGTTTCTGTTGCTATAGGGCAGTGGTTCTCAACCTTGGCTGCATATGAAAATCAATTGGGAATCTTTTAAAAACCATATCCCTTCCTCAGAAATGTGCATTCAATTTTTAGAAAGGTTCCTTGTTTCTAATGCACTGCTAGGGTGGAGAGCCACAGCCGAGCCACTGCCATAAGGAAACCTGGTTAATTGATGTTAACATCATATTCCTTCTCCACAAATCTAATTTTGGTATGGTTTCACACTCTTTGGTACACTCTATTTTGGTTCAGATTTGGATACTAAAATTCTATTTCTCCTTTCCTATTTAAACTCTTTTCCTTGATGTTGACAGATGTACCTATTGGATGACAAAACATCATCTTTTATTTTTATTTTTTATTTTAAAAAATTTTTAGTGTTTATTTTTGAGAGACAGAGAGAGAGACAGACAAAACACAAGTGGGGGAGGAGCAGAGAGAGAGGGAGACACAGAATCCGAAGCAGGCTCCAGGCTCTGAGCTGACAGCACAGAGCCCCACGTAGGGCTCGAACTCACGGACCGTGAGATCATGACCTGAGCTGAAGTTGGAGGCTCAAGTGACTGAGTCACGAGGGGCCCCAAAACATCATCTTTTAAATATGCTCTGCTGTTGCCAAAGCTGTGGGTGCATTCTGTGGTGTTTGAGTCTCTGAGAAAATCACAGCAGCAGGAGCAGAAGCAGATACTCTCTGGTTCCTAGAGGCTAGGTTTATAGGATCAAGAGTCAGGATGTTAGATGAATGTTGTGTTCTCTTGGTTAGGATTTGGCTTGGGGGTAAGTTTTTTCATCTATAAGCATAGTACTGAAAGCAGTTAGCTATTATTATTTGTTTTCTGCATAACAGTCATTTTCTAGGGATTTAGAAATATGAAATATAGAAATCATAATCACATAAGAGTTAAAATAATATTGAGCAAATAGAACAAAGGAAGGAAGGAAAGTGATTCCTTCATGACGTACAGTCACTTATGACTTCATTTTTTTGGTTGAATACTATTTTAATGGGAGGCATGAGACTGGAAATATTAGCTATTATATGATATATTAGCTACTACATGCCAGGCACTTTGCATATATTATTTATTCATATATCTTGAGATGTATATTCATATATCCACCTTGTGCTTATATAATGAAAACTGCAAGGTGGATGGTGCTATTATTTCCAGATTACAAATGATACTTCCAGGAGATTGAAATATTTGCTCAGATTTAGAAAAAGTGAAGCCATGCTTCAAAACCAATGTCTGCTTGCCTCAAATTCTCATGTTCTCTGAAGAAAGACATATTATGATCTCAGCCCAGTGAATCTCAAACTGTAATGTGCTTGTGAATTACCTGGGGGTTTTACAACAATGTGGATTCTGATTTGGTGGGGTCTGGGGTAGGGCCTGAGTTTTTGCATTAATAACACAGTCTCAGGTGATGCTGTTGTTGAATGTCTTCAGAAAATACTGAGCAGCAAGGGCTCAGAGCATGTACTTAGAGTCAGTGGTTTGTTAGAGGCCCAATTTTGTCACTATATAACTGTGTGGCCTTAGGAAAGTCACTTAATTTTGCTAGGGCTTGGTTGTTTTCTCTTTTTTAAAATTTTCCCAATGTTTATTTATTTTTGAGAGACAGAGAGAGGCAGAGCTTGAGTAGGGAAGGGGCAGAGAGAGGGAGACACAGAATCCAAAGCAGGCTCCAGACTCCAAGCCACCAGCACAGAGCCTGATGCAGGGCTCAAACCCATGAACCGTGAGATCATGACATGAGCTGAAGTTGGATGCTTAACACACTGAGCCACCCAAGTGTCCCAGGGCTTGATTGTTTTTAATATGTAACATAGAAAGTTTGAAATAGAGAACCTTTATGATCGCTCTCAGGTCCAACATTTTGTGATTCAGTAAATGGTAGAAGGAATCCAAGCATATTCAAGTCATTGTGTACTGCCTTTCTGGGTCTAGGTCTGGGAATAGATTTCCTTCTGCAACTCTGGGGCCAGCATCCAAGAAGGAACAGAGACCATGGAGATAGCAGGGGTTTGGTAACCAGTATAGATGAAGAAAGGATACACCTGAATGGAAGCCCTTAACAGTTTTAGAAAGGCTTAGAAGTTGAATCTGGTAGCTATTAAAAAAAATGCTTATTTATTTATAAAGTTTTTCTAAATGTTTATTTATTGTTGAGACAGAGTGAGACAGAATGTGAGCCGGAGAGGGGCAGACACAGAATCCGAAGCAGGCTCCAGACTCTGAGCTATCAGCACAGAGCCCCTCATAGCTCAAACCCATGAAGTGTGAGATCATGACCTGAGTTGAAGTCAGACACTTAACTGACTGAGCCACCTAGTTGCCCCTATTTATTTTTGAGAGAGAGAGAGAGAGAGAGAGAGAGAGAGAGAGAGAGAGAACGCATGTGGGGGTGGGGAGAGGCAGAGAGAGAGGGAGACAGAGGATCCCCAATGTGGGCTTTGCGCTGTGAGCAGAGAGCCCTATGCAGGGCTTGAACTCAAGAACCATGAGATCATGACCTCAGCTAAAGTTGGAAGCTTAACTGACTGAGCCACCCAGGTGCCCCCAAATCTGCTAGGTCTTTAAATGACTTGGATCTGAGATACTGAAAGTTAGTTATGTTCCTTTTTGAAGATCTGTAAAACACATCAAATAGCATGGAGATTAAATCCATTACCAAAGCCAGTCAGCCTTCAGGAGATAAGAATGATTTGAATCTAAGTTGAATGAAATACTCCATAAGAATGTGGACTGGCTTAAACTTCCAGGAAGTTACTTCAGCACTGACTCTAGTGGAATCTTCTGCTCAGCTCAGTCACTCCGGAAGGACTAGGGATGTGGAGTAGACAGAAAACTGGCACACTTTGAGTTAAGGTAAAGCAATAAATTAGTGAGTTCCTGCCCTGTTACTGGTTATTAACCAGCATTTAATAGACACACCATACACATTATGGATGCTTTGAAATCATTCTAAGTGCAAAGAGCTACAGTGATTTTAATATGCTTAGGATACTTTCAGACTGTGTGTCATTATTCTAGCATGTACCTGGCTCTGTCGTTTTAAGATATGGAAAGTGGGAGACGAAAGATATATTCATTCTAATTAACCATGTAAAGCTTGTTAGAAGGGACGCAGTGACTCCTCAGGTTAGGTCACTGAGTGGAATTGGGTTTCTCCAGCCCAATGTCCTTTCATAAAGACAAACTGTTATTTAAAGCCTGTTAGGTTTGCTGTTAATTAAACTGAAAAGGAGTAGCTGCTTTCAGGACAACAGTATAAAGGTTCTGTGGAAGTTGAAAAAATTTCCAGGCTTCAAAGAAACTCCCAGGATATGTTAATGGAAGTTGATTTGGAGGCTCTCTGAGCTCAAAGGCAGTCCTCCTGAACTCTTAAATAATTACCTCAACTTCACTCACGTTCTAAGACAAGGAACATCTCATTTGAATTGTGATAAGAACAGTGATACAAAGACAGAAAAAAACACTTTATACAATTTTGCAGTTTGGAATCCTAGCATGAGCAGAGACCTGTGTTAGTGGTGGCACGGGCCGTGGGCAGGGGGCGGAAGCCTGGATCCAGTTCCATCACGAAATGACCTAGGACTTGCAGTGAGCCTGGCAGGGCCATGACTCATGTGACTCCAGATGAATGTGGTCGAAAACCCAGCAATCTAAAAGACCCAGTCTCAGCTTTGAATGAAAACAGGGTGTCTGTGAGAATGTGACAATTTCCTTGTCTCAGGAACTTACAAAGGGCCTCTTTCATTGCTCACGCACACACCTTGTGGGTTTCTACCTCCTTGACTCCGTTCGAGCTTTCTCTCTGCCTCACTTCCCTGCCTGGTGAAGGAGTTCCTTTATCTCCAGGGCTGTCTCAGATGTCACCTCTTCTGGGAAGCCTTTCTCTGACCCACGGTAGCAGCTCCCTCAGCTCTGCTCCCAATCCTTGGTACTCCACTTCTGTTAGAGCAAGGCATGGCTCTCCTGCTTGTATGCAAATCTGCCACCCCTGCTAGGCCACAGGCCCTTCCAGGGCAGGGCTGCATCTTACATACGTTTATGGCACAATGCAGTTCACACAATGACACGCAGCTTATGTTTGCCGCCTGACCGTCCAAGTAGCCATTTGAAAGCATAATTGTTGGTATGACTCTGGCCTCCCGTGTTGTGGCTCAGTGCTGCTGGGTGCAGCTGCAGCTCCTTCCTGACCGACCCCGAGCTCAGCACAGGTCGTCATTCCTTCCCCCACTCGCACCTCCTCCTGCTCCTTCTCCTGATTGTCCTGCTCCCTCTGTCTCTTTCACTGACTTGGCCAAAAGTTTCTGTTGCTTGCTGAATTGTCATCCAATAAGGTTTTCTTTAGAAAGGCAGCATGGTCCAAGGAGAGCCAGATGGGGCCTATTTGTCTGTTTGCCTCCTGGCATCACCAGCTACCAACCGTGTGACCTTGGACAGGTCAGTTTAACACCTTGGCGTCTAAGTTTCCTCAACTGGAAAAATGGCAGTGGTGACATTTGTTTTTCTGGGTTGCTTGGAAGACTAGTGGAGTAACAGATGCCTAAGGACCTAAAGTAAGATCGAGGCACATACTAAACATCAGTTTCTTTCTTTTTCCCCTTGTTATTAATTTTTATAGCAAACGAACTGGATTTTATCTTTTTGTAAAAAAAAAAAAAATCCAATTAAGTTGCTTGGTACTTGCACATTTAGACTATTGATTTTTTTTTTTTTTTCTGATGGGTCAGTGGCACTCAATAGAGGAAAAACAGTTTTCTGAGATACTGAGATCATGAAATCTGAAGTACTTCCTCATTCCTGTTAATTTCTGGTACCTATCCTAAGCCGGGAGAGCAAAAGACAGTGTCCAATGTCTAACA